ATCAGAGAATTGCAGAATGGGTGAGTGCAGCACGGAGCTCTAGAGATCATCTAGTCCAACCATCTTGCTCAAAGAGTGTCAATTAGAGCAGGTTGCCCAGGACCAGTTCCAGTTGAGTTTTTAATGTCTCCAAGTATGGACACTCCACAACCTCACTGTGCAACTGTCTCCAGTATTTGACCAACCTCACAGTAGAAAATTGTTTTCCTGTGTTTCAACCTGTGCCCATTGCCTCGACCTGTCACTGGACACCATTGAGAAGAGTTTGTTTCCCTCTTCTTTATCCCTCCCATAAGGTATTTATACACATTGATAACATCCCCTCCGAGCCTTCTCTTCTCCGGGCTGGACACAACCTCTCCTTGTGCTGGAGATACTCTAGTCCCTTGATGAACTTTGTGACCCTTTGCTCGACTCGCTCCAGTATGTCCATGTCTTTCTGTACTGTTAACTTTCTAACGTCCAAGTAGGATAGTATATAAATAGTTTCAATTGCTTGCCTATACAGTATTTTCAGTATTTGCAGCTGCACGTATGAGCTTCTAACAAAGCTGCTCTCCTTAATATCTGCTCCAGTCCTTAATAAAATTAACTGTATTTAATAGGAACAAAAATTGCACATATTTTTTTTTTTCCATTTAACCTTCTCTGTAAATGAGAAAGGGAAACAATTAACATACATGCACACTTTTCTTGATTGTTGATACTGCCTTTTCTTTTTCCTGTATTCTCCTTTGCTGTTTGTTAAATCCTTCAAGACATCCTTTGAGCTACTTGCTCTCATAGACAGAGAAGTCTGCTCTGTTTTGTATATTTGGAGGAAGATTACTGGCTTAGTAACTATTCCCCACTGATTGATACGCAGAACTTCAAATGAAGATACAACCTTTTATACTACACCTTATGTACGACTTCTAGTGTCCATTGTAATTTTAGGAGAATTCATTTCAGTTTTGTATATCGGATTTTAAAATTTGGGAATTTCTTCCTGTTTTCTTTGAAAGGCTGAACAGCTGGTTGGCCTCATTTCTGCATGACTGAACTGCTGGTTATAACTGATTAGACACTTAATACTGTGTTAGAGTATGTTTTAATGCTGTAGAACTAGCTGCTACAAAAGTTCTCTGATAATTTTTTTTTTTAGTTAGCTCCTGTCTGGCTTGCATCTGAAGCAGGTACTTCAAAAGTAGAATTCAGCATGCATTTCAAATATATTTTTCTGGAAATAAGATCAATTATAATAATCTTTTAGTGCACATAAAACATTCAGGACATCAATTTTTTTTATTAGAATAGTGATTTAGCTCTCATAAATTGAAGTCGGTAGGTTCCTCTATAAATTAGATATGTCTGTTTTTAAATTTCCCTTTTTAACTCTGAAAAAATCCCCAATCTATATTCATGTGCAAAAAGTTAGAATTTTCAAAATTAATATAGCACTGCTTTAATTTTCCTTCCACTTACTGATAATTCTGCCTCTACTGCAGTAGTCAGGAATTTCAAGCTAACCCCAATAGAATCTAATGATCTAAACCTTTTTTCCTTGTCATATTTTCTTCTTCCATAATGTTGTTCCTTGCTCCCATCTGGAAGACAGTGGACTTTAAAAGAACAGGTTAAATGAAAGATTAAGCTAATTTGGAAACTTCTGACCATCAGTTACTTCAGGAGACAAAAATTCTGTGCACAGAAGCCTGAAATTACCATTGCCATGATGTGTGTGTGTGTTGGAAGTGAAAACTCTATCAAACTCTAGTCTCAAATTAATGCCAAAATATCCCTGAACACGGTCCAGTTCAGGTCTGAGAACAGTGTGTTCAGGGCACAATCAATACCCCTAATAATAACAAGAATAAACAAGAAGAAAGTCACTCAGTGCTGTAAATTTCAGGAAACTTTACTACTAATCAGCACTGAATAAGTGCCTCTTTCTGAATTACTGTTACTTCATTGCTAGAATATTTGTTTTATGCTTTCAAGACTGCTTAGGCTGAACAACAACTGTTCTCTGAACCTATTAGATTTAGTTTTCCATTAGTTCCTCAAATTCAGTATACTATCTCTTGGAAAGTGAGAACAGAGGAACACTTCGTATTCAGAAGGATGCAAAAACATTTTTGTTTGATCTGTCTTAGTAACAGTGTGGGGACATGTATGGTATCTCAAATGTTTCGAAACACACAAAGGGTGAAAACTGCGCCTGGTTCCAAAGAGAGAGAGTTGTTTCTTCTTTGGTGGTGTGTTCATTAGGTACAGATTCATTGCCAGAAGGCTCTGTAATGCTCCACTCTGAAAATGCCAGTTATGCTCTCCTCCTTCGTTTCTTTGGCCATCAGCCTCTGCCCCTTTGATTTTTTTTTTTTCTTTTTTTTCTTCCTTGAAGACTCAGACATCCATGTTGTTGTGCTATTAATCAGTAGTTCTCATTTGGGAAGGTATGGAACATGTTGCCTGTGGCCTGGGGGGTCTGTCCAAAGCTGCCTTCTTTTCTTGTTGAGTTGGAGTCTCTTAAGAGCGTTGCAGAAGTGCATACTGCCTTGCTCTGCTGCGCTCAAACACCTTGAGTGAGACGCACAGGCCAGTCCTGGCCAAACTTAGTTCTGCCTACATCCTCCTGGAAAGAGGTTATGCCTTGAAATGTTAGCTTATTCTGTGTTGCTGGGGGTCTCCTTACTCCCACGTGATCCAGCCAGATCTGTATTTACCCTTGGATAGGCAGGAGACAGGAAGGTGGGAAGCGGATTGTTGGCAGAAGGAAACGAGGTCAGCAGCCTGGGTTGTAGTAAGGGACTGGAGGCAGCAGGGAGCCAGTTTGAGGCAGCATTGAAGACAAGAAGATGCAACGACATTTGGAGTGGAGCCTGAGAAATGTGTGTTGGGAAAAAGAGATATGCTAAGTTTTACATTATATAAACAATTTATGAAGTGTTTAATGAGTATTTGCCTGTTACAAAGAAGGGCTAAAGCCTGTGTTAAAAATAGCATAGAATTTCAGTCCATTTCAGGTGCTCCAACTTTTCATAATTTGACTCACAAAGTGTGTTTTTTCTCTAAGATTTACAAACTTCTCTTCTTTCTGTTTTTTAAACATCTGCAATTCCTACTTCTCATGTTTGAGGTAGGCCTGCATTCCAGTTCTTGCAGTATCATTGCAGTTTATGTAGGTGTACTTGAGTGAGTTAGTGCACAGTTCATTTGTGTACTGGTAATTTAAGGTACACACTTGCTAGCTCTCATACTCAGCATGACAGGGGCTCTGCAGCCTTGTCAAGAAGATGACTTCATTCAGCTGCTGCAGTATGGCCCTAATATCCCAGAGCTCTGTCTGCACTAGGTTCTGGAGTGTTTACAGGAGGTCCTGCTCAAAGTGAACTCAGTGGTGCCAACAATGTGGCTATTCTTTGGCACCTAATCTAGCAAACGTGGGGTTTTTTTTATTACCAAAACCGGTAGTGTTTGGGTTTCTCTAGATTATAAAATAGGCATCTAAATGAAAGGAGAAATTCAGTCTTGCTTGTTTGTCACTGGGTGAGATGGTTATGCTGAAAGTTGCAGGCAATTATTGTCTGAAACGTGCTAGATTTGTCCAGTGTCAAATTAAAGTTCTTCTCTGCATGGCTACATGTAATTTTATTATTAGCTGATTGCATTTGTGCTAACAGATTGGATGGTGTTTGCTGTAATGAAATAAAAAAACCCCCCAACAAACAGATAATCTTGTTCTTCAGGTTGAACTCCCACCTCCTGATCTTGGCCCAAGCTCTGCACTAAATCAGACACTTAACTTGCTACGGGAGGTTCTGGCATCTCACGACTCATCTGTTGTTCCACTGGATGCCCGTCAAGCTGACTTTGTGCAGGTATAAGAATGTTTGACTGCTTTGAAGAGGAGGGGAAAAAAAGAAGTATGTGTAAGTTAGTCTCAGTACACAAAAGATGGGTGAAACATTAATCTTTCTGTCTGGTCCCATTTTGGAGCTTTCTACCAAACCCAAGTTTGTAATGTGAATAAGAGGGTGACTAACAAAGTGGATAATTACAGTACAATATGGAGTGCTATTCTTAATGCAGTATCTAAATTCTGTTATCCAATTACTACTCCATTAAGTAAATACACCCTCAAGATTGCACAATTACCAATTTTCTTATCTGGGTTACTCTTCCTCCTGCTAGGTTGGAATCTGTTCTTCTCAGGTTTTTATACTTTTCCCATCACTATGGTAGCTGATCACCTGCTGACAAATCCAGTAGAAAACTGCTTTCGCAGTTGGAAACTCTCATTTCTCTTTATTCTGCTTTGCAGAATAAATACGTGATAGAGACAGAATGAGCTTAGAAGCCTCGTGTGACATGATTTCCCACCTCCCCTTCCTCTTTTCTGTGTGTTTGCTATTTTAGGTTCTGTCTTGTGTGCTAGATCCGTTGTTACAGATGTGTACTATGTCTGCTAGTAATTTGGGCACAGCTGATATGGCAACCTTCATGGTAAATTCACTGTATATGATGAAGACCACTTTGGCTCTCTTTGAATTCACTGACAAACGTCTAGAAATGTTGCAGTTTCAGGTAAGCTTTAACAGCCCCGAAAGAAAATGAACTTATTACTGATTTCTGCAGACTATAAGTTGTGATGTGAACATATTTATTTTTGATAATGTTGGCTTTGGGTCAATTCTAAATCAGGGAAATGGAATAAGAGGGCTTCTTATCAGAGGCCATAAACAAATAGCAAGTATCAGAGCTTATGGTACACAGCATATTTCATTTTAAACAGACAAAAGGATGATTAGAAGATTTTTTTGGTTTGGTTTAGTTGCAGATAAACCCATATCAGTGAACATTTTCATTATGCTAATCATTCTAATATTTATCTGCAAACTGTGTGAGAAGAAGCAAATGGAAGTTGAAAGCTCAGTCAAATGGCTGACTATATTCTATCATATAGTTAATACTAGATCATCATCTAGTTTATACTAGAATATTCTATAGCTGAAGTTACTACTTCAGGCCTTCTTTCTACCTTTCTTTTCTCATTTGTTTGGTTTCACCTAACATGTCAGGATAGTAGTTCATATGTGGTACCATTTTGAAATGGAAATGTAGTTCATAAACCATTGAGTTGGGAAAACTTAGGCACTGCCCATTTATAGTTTTGCTACATGAGCATCTCTGCAATATCATAGAATCCTAGAATGGTTTGGGTTGGAAGGGACCTTAAAGATCATCTAGTTCCAACCCCCCTGCCATGGGCAGGGACACCTTCCATTAGACCAGGTTGCTCAAAGCCCCATCCAACCTGGCCTTGAACACTTCCAGGGATGGGGCATCCACAACTTCTCTGAGCAACCTGTTCCAGTGCCTCAGCACTCCCACAGTGAAGAATTTCTTCCTTACATCTAATCTCAATCTACCCTCTTTCAGTTTAAAGCCATTACCCCTTGTCCTGTCACTACATGGGGTGATAGGATCCTTTTTACATGCCCTTGTAAGAAGTCCCTCTCCAGCTTTCTTGTAGGCCCC